AACAACTATAAAAACCAACCGCGAGACTCGAATAATCGTATCTCCTCTTCCCAAATCGTCCATTTTTGTGCGCAATCTCAGCGCGAATTAAGGAAAAATTACTGTACATGTATACGCACATAGAAACAGCATTATCTGACATTACGAGATTTCTCTTTCGATTACATCCAAAATGTTTCGGATCGAATGAAATTTCTAGTTCGTTGAAATTCTTGCTTGCCGGGGTGAAATTACTCTCGAGTGCAAATAGTTAAGCTAGTTGTAGATAGAATCCGATAGCGATTTTCCAGAGAATGAAACGCGAATGAGTTTGATACGCGATCCAATAACAAACGTTGTTTCAATCGAAGGTGGTTTTCGAAACTATGCAAAGCGTTCCCCTGGAATCCAAATAAACCAGAGTATCTAGTAATATCCCGTACCTTTTTTTTCAGCATCGCGCACAGCTCATAGCATCGCAATCAAAACACGAAACGCTGAATCCGCCGAAGCCGGTCGAACCGCGGCAACAATCCGACTTAAAATTCTCCGAACGATCGTTTCGCCGGTTCCGGATCGGAAACAATAAACGCGTTCGTGTTGATTAAAAATTTTCGCGGTCGGCTCGGGGAAAGGGAGAGCCGACCCAGAAACGAGCAAATCGATATATCGGGGCGCGGGTTACTTCGTTTCGCGGACCGTCATCTCGACGACTTTTCTAGCAATTCGGGACGCGTGTAATCCCGATCGTTGCGATCTTCCCTCGAGAGACTTGTTAGCAGCTGCAGATCCTTTAGCCGCTCCAACGAGCCTCGAAACTCGCATAATGTTCTATCGCCGTTCGCGGCAAGGAGTGTGCATTACATCGGTCGATCGTTTCACGTTTTTTATTCCCTTCGTTTCCGGCGCAAATGCGTCGAGAGTTTTATGCGCGACTATAGCTGTCCGAAAAAACGGGGAAAATATCGCCAACCGTTTTGTTCTCTCGCTTATGTATGCGCTCGATAAAAGCTCGCAATATCCGGTAAAATATGTATCGCGACCTTCATCGCGATTCGAAACGTCGAAGCGTTTCGATGAAACTTTTTTGTTTTACTTGCTATTAGACTTTGCTAATGGAATTTGCTCTTTGCAAATTCACGCATGAATTGTTTCAATAATTATTAGAACACTTCACGGCCATTGACTCACGTGCGCGACGTCAATAATCTCGTCGTTTACGTAGCAACGGACAAGTGAAATAATCTATTCAAATGAATTAGTTACGTGAAAAATAAGTTCATTAATTTCGTTACGCGTTGTCCGAGCCGGCATATTCGCTGTAATAATTATTTTGGTTTCATTTGATACGATGAAATAGAAAAAGATCGATTGCGGAGGTTGCAGGCTGGTTGGATGAGTTTTTGTTTACTGCTATACAACACTTTTTTGCGAAATTTAGCGCGAGAACACTTCTTGTAGACGCGTATACGTTCTCCGTAACTGTGAGATTGTAAATATTATTTATTAGGTTGGCAACTAAGTTCCCGCCGTTTTTAAAAATTTTAACATTCCGCATGTCATTAAATATTTTTGACACAATGTTTTAAATCATTCGAAAGAGGATGTTTTGTTCTACTGGAATCTATGTTTGTTTTTTTTGTTGGAGTCAATTTATATTAATTTTCAGATCATATTAAAATAAAATGTCAAGTTGAAAAAAATGAGCATTTTCGACGCCTTCTTTCTTTTGCTTTTAATCGATGAGTTTGCTTTAATCAATTTTTTAAATTTTCTCCCTTGCTGTTACAACTTCTTCCCAACGTTCAACAAAATTTTCAATACCTCGTTGGTAGAAATCACCCGGTCTCGACTCGACAAATTCATCCAAGCTCGATGATTTTTGTTGTTGTCATTTAAAGCATGCGGACCCATGCTCCACACTTTTGAACCTTTCCTATCGAGTGAAGGTGCTTCTCTATAGCAGTGTGGAAACATTTCATTTTTTCTGCCAGTTCCCTTGTCGTATGACGCGAATTTTCGTGCAAAAGTTGGTTTAACACGTTGACTGCCGCGTCACCCGTATTCGGGTGGCAGCAAAAGTTCTCATCAGGCCATGTCACCCGTAATTCGGGTGACTCTGATTTGACTACTTACAAAGGATTTCCGAAAATATTTCGACAAATATTCTACAGGAGGTAATGAGACTATTGAATTCTTATAAAAATGGTTTATTAAAAAAATTATTCGCAGTGTATAACATTAAAACATTCTCTTGCAAAGTTGAGGTTGATCAGGACAACTTGGACAAAAAGTCGTTTGTTTTTTCAGATATGCTCGTGCCTCTGATCGGTCCATTTCGTATCTTTTATTTGGACTGTAGCTTCCTCGGTATCATCAACATTTCTTTCTTCTTCCATGACCAATTCTCGTAAAATCTCGTCAATAGTATCTTCATAACATTCATTATCACTAAGATTATATTTATCAGTATCCAAATCAGAATCTGACGATGTAATTTTATTTATGCTTCTCCTTCCGGGCAATCCGATCTCTTTTCATTATTGAAAAAAAATAAGGGCAGAGATTTTAAGTTATACCATTCGGTACTCGGCAAAGATTCCAACTGTTCATGCAGGAACAGAAACAGATATGAATTAACAGCGCACGCTTCCTATAGCGGCACGGGTGGCCTGTAGGAGATTTTGTTGTAAATACGCGTGGCAGTCAACGTGTTAAAGAGAACATACGAATCGTAGTGAAGAAACGAGTTCGAGTGATACCAAATTTTGGGTAGAAACACCTGAAACGGAACGAAACAAACGATAGCGGTCGGCGCGGCTGGAAATCGACGAATGAGTTTTTCCTGTAACTCGTCGAGGCGTTTATTCGACGTCGGTGAACCAAAAACGTGGGCACGCCGTCTGACAAATAACCAGGCCAACCGAACAGGCTCCTTTTCCCTCCACCTCATTTCACCTGTTTGCTCGCGGCCGACTATCTGTCTTCTGCCGCCGCATCCGCGTCGCTCCTCCCTTTATCGCGTCGCGATGAGCAACGCGAGAGGACTGATGGAAAATCGGGAGCCGTTCCAACAGTGGAAGTGATCAATTATCCCGTGGACCACCGTGGAAACCCCTATCGATTCTACTTCAGGAAAGGCTGATTATTAACACGCTCGCTACCCGCCATTTTGATTGGAAACATATCGTTGCGGATCGGTAGACTGCACGGGCTTCTAATGATCTCCAATGAACAGTTAAATGCGACGTACGACTATAACGAATGCAATGTTACGTCGTACTTTATGTACAAAATGCGTTGGTGCAGAAAACAAGCATNCGTAATTCGGGTGACTCTGATTTGACTACTTACAAAGGATTTCCGAAAATATTTCGACAAACATTCTACAGGAGGTAATGAGACTATTGAATTCTTATAAAAATGGTTTATTAAAAAAATTATTCGCAGTGTATAACATTAAAACATTCTCTTGCAAAGTTGAGGTTGATCAGGACAACTTGGACAAAAAGTCGTTTGTTTTTTCAGATATGCTCGTGCCTCTGATCGGTCCAGTTCGTATCTTTTATTTGAACTGTAGCTTCCTCAGTATCATCAACATTTCTTTCTTCTTCCATGACCAATTCTCGTAAAATCTCGTCAATAGTATCTTCATAACATTCATTATCACTAAGATTATATTTATCAGTATCCAAATCAGAATCTGACGATGTAATTTTATTTATGCTTCTCCTTCCGGGCAATCCGATCTCTTTTCATTATGGAAAAAAAATAAGGTCAGAGATTTTAAGTTATACCATTCGGTACTCGGCAAAGATTCCAACTGTTCATGCAGGAATAGAAACAGATATGAATTAACAGCGCACGCTTCCTATAGCGGTACGGGTGGCCTGTAGGAGATTTTGTTGTAAATACGCGTGGCAGTCAACGTGTTAATCGCTCTTCATCGAACTGGACTGGACGGCCAGAACATCTTTGCGACTTTGAGGTCAAAATTTTCATTTTTGAACTTAGCATACCAATCACGAGCGATTCTTTCAGCTATGACACCCTCTCCATACACAGCACAAATGTCGCGAGCAGCTTTCGCGACCTTAGAACCTTGATTAAAAACAAAAAGGAGGAGGTGTCGAAAATACTCATTTTTCTCAACTTGACATTCGATTTTAATGATCTTAAAGTTAACAGAAATTAACTCGAACAATAAAAGCAAAACATAGATTCCGGTAGAACAAAACATTCTCTTTCGAATGATTTGAAACATTATGACAAAAACATTTAATGACATGCGGAATGTTAAAATTGTTAGAAACGGCGAGAACTTGATTGCCAACCTAATATTTTTATACAGACTTTACTGAAAGCTAGTCTTCACTTAATATGCAAATTATACATTGTTGCGTCCGTTTCACCGCATTCCTTTGTAATCGCTGCAAATCATAATTAAAATAGCATTAACGAAAGATATTCTCACGAGATTTAACTCAATGAAGAAGCGTTTAGCGAGAACGCATAAATTGCTGAAGACGGTTAAGGTTATCTTTATGTTGCGCTCATTACGCGTATCTTAGACATCAGAGATGCTTGAGAATGATTTTAGAAGGGTGTACCCAGTTTTTATGGGCAATTTTGCGAAGATGGAGCTTCGCTACGCTATTTGTAGAAGTTGTTATTAACCAGACGTTTATTTACTTTCCTGTGGGCTTGGGTCGTTCAATTTACCATTCTGTCGTTATATATATAGATAACAGTTCATCCGAATATTTCCATAGTCTCGTACCAAAAAACCTTGACGATAAAGAAAAAGGCCAGGTCATGATAAGATATTTAATTGTTCCATACTTAACGAGAACATTTTAATCGATGCAAATATTTATCTGATAACTAGACCGTGACCTTGTTACCAAATACAGATTTCGTACAAATCAGTTTACGAAAGTCGAGGCTTAATCAACGTGTACAAGTAAATTAAGTTTATCCGAAACTTTTGCTGAATGTGTTCGTTTCGTTCTTTGTTGCAGGTATGCGAGTGCTGTGAAATCATAACTTCGCAGTTGCCGACCAAGTAAAGGGAAACTAAGGTACATAAAGTGACTTCTTTGCCCATCGTAGAGTGTAGTTGCTTTATACTAAGCATTCTTTATTCAGACGTACGATTATTTTTGTCGAATGAAGAGAATTTTCATAAGATAATGATAAAAATTATGTTCACACACACACAGCGACTACAGAAGAGGTAAAAAAAAAAAATAGAACATGGAGTAAGTTAAATATTCGCGTTGTTAAAATTTAGAAATTTGGTGAGAGAATAACCAAACGCTTACAAAAAAGTCCTAATTGAAACTTACTCAATTACTTTATTACGATATTTACTTTTGGTTTTTTGTTGTTTTTTTATATACGCCGCTAATAAAATCTTCCAACCGTATTTAACATTAGATTTACGGAACTGATAAAAATGACGGGTCACTATTTTTTTAATTTACGATTTATCGTAACTCATATCGTAAAGATACGTTTATGAGTTATTTATTCAATTTATATATTACTTACGGCAAATGTTAAAATAACACTTGTTAAAAGTCAGAATAAATGTCTCATTGTTACTTTTATAAGCTAATATAAAACAGCTGTTTTTTGTGCTCCGTAAATCTACAATAGTATTAATCAATAGTAAGTTAATCTGAAAAATATATATTCTATGTATAAAAATCAACCGATGTCATAATTGAAGTAGGGAAGAATGAATCGATCTCAGACTTGAAATTTCATATTGCAAACTAGAATGCCCACTGATGGACGATCAATAACATCTTGTCAATATTTCAAGGTCCTCAATATTATCTTAGCGATCAATGTACATGTATATTGTCACTATTATGGAACATTCGCAAGTCAGATTGATGTACTGTCAATAATATAGATCGCACGAAAACAGTGCCAATTTCTCAACAAATCCAATATTAACCCCTTAAAATTTGTATCTGAGTATAAAACAGTTTATGTAATTCAAAACTAAGTAACTCAAAACAAAATTTTTGCATACGAATCAATAACGAATTAATAAATTCAAAGAAAATCATGATCTTCTCGATTACGAAGAAGAAACAACCGAAACATATTTTCACGACGTTGTGATTAGAACTGATGATGTTATGAAATCTATGAACGATGATGATTTCAAATCCAGTTACAAAATTTATTGCAAATTTTGAGAAAAAAAATTGGCAGACTGTCAACGCATTTCAACGAAAAAGTCACGATTTCGTTAGATCCTTCGCTTAAATTGATTTGTTTTTCAAAATTCTGTAATCAAAACCTACGGAAATTGATGCACTCTAAATTCTCCCTAATTGACGCACAGATTGTACCTAAATATGGACAATTTAGGAGAAGGAGATACGATCGTTCAAGCCTTGCGGCTCGTTTTTATCGTGTTTATAGTTGTTAACGATCTGTAATTATAAAATCGAGTCGCAAGGTTCGAACAATCGTATCTCCTCTTTCCAAATTGTCCATTTTCTACACAATCTGGGTGTTAATTAGGGAGAATTTACAAAAATTGATGTAGAACAAAAATTGTCATAAAAAGATTTAACTTGCATGGTACTAGATAAATCACAATTTTATTGGGAACATTTCAAGCTTGACATAAATTTTCCTGGTGAAAAAATCCCTTCCCCTATTCTGCAACGTAGCAGATTTAACGTAAAAGACGTAATCGCTTTATCTCATTTCTATCAAAAGTTCTACTTTTCCTGACAGTTGGACGTGCATCGATCATCGGGATTGCCCCGTTAAGAAAAATTCGTGAAATCGCGATGTAATTATATTGATCAGACGAACGCTCTATGAAACGAAAGAGAAAATTGAATGGAAGGTGAAGATCGAGGGCTGGCAAGAACAATCAATCGAATCGAGCTCCTTTCGACCGCGTTTCCGTCGGCATAAGACGCTGGAGGGTCCGCAGTGCGCTCTCCAATTTCCCTGTGCCAGCTAAAAGGCAAGACCGTTTCCATTTCAACCCGCATTTTGAGTTTCCCAAGCCTCCGCGAGAGGCCTGGACCCTTTTCCCAGCCCTCGGATATATGGAAATGTAGTCCGTCAATATTCGAGTTCGGCGACGAGTGACTCGACCTCTCGCTGGATCCTTCTCGACTTCATATGCATTCGACGCGTACCGAGGCCACCAAGAAATTCATCGATGCGCCGGGCTCGATCGATTTTTCATCTCGTGTTACCCTGTGTGTCGAAACCATGGCGCCCGTTTAATGGCATCGCGAACGTGCACGGAATGTTTAATATCCACCGGCACACCAGCCACCATTGTTGTCCGCTAATTTTTTATGAACGTTAGAATCGCACGTGGCGTAGTAACGTTCGCACGGCGCACACGATTCGCTGTGGTTACACTGAATGTGAGAACGACGCTGCTTTTTTATTTATTTACCCAAAGCTTTTTAAGTTAACGATAGCGAGATTTTACTGATGAACGTTCACGTGTTATTTGTGAAAGAAATTTGTTACTTGGGACAAATATTACGACATAAATCGTTAAACATCCGAATAAAAACATTATTATTATTATTATTATTTATAAAGTAATAAAAAATGGTTGCTTTTAATACTCCGTACACCTATTGCTAAGTAAGAGTTACACAGCTGTACTTAATTTTCTCAATTATTGAATAGATTTTTAATGACCTTGTTAATTTATAACTAACTTATAATTAATAACGAATATAATAAGCAAATTTATAAGTTAATTTAGAATTAGTAACTCTAATATAATCACTTTAAAAGTAAAATTAGTTTGATTTTGAACTGCCGTCTTGTAACCGTCGTTCATTTCTTATTCTCTGATATCGAATCGACACAACGGTAAAAAATTAATGACTGCTTGGAATAAAATGCACCTTCGTTGAGAACGAAAACGTAAAGTAAGGCGAGACAAGTTTCAGCATAGATTATACACGTTCGTCAGTGCTAATAAAAGCATCTATTGATTGTTTCTTTAATTAAATTGACAGGGTCGGTTAACAAACTGTCCTAATATCGAAGGGTGGATATTGTTTACAATTTAGGATAAAGTACAAGATATATTCACAGTTGGAAAGCGTGTGTTTCGTTAAAAGTGGTTTCTTGGGAGATTACGTACGAAAGTTAACAAAATTTCACAGATTCGTATCCGGTTGACAAAGATATATCCGAAACGTTTACCAAATACGTTGTTGCACAATGTCATAATAAATTGCACACCGATGTACCGAAGTTTGACAACAGTGAAATGAGATTTGGGGAAACTAGGTTTTCGATATGTGGAATTGTGACGGTCATTTTCACGAACAACGCGTTTCCGCAATCAAAAACAGCGCGCGTTTGTTTCTTCTCTGTATAGGTATGTCGATATACATTATTCATTCTACATAGATCAGCAGCTATGCTATAAAAAAAAAGTTTATATTTATCATAAAACACCATTGATATCTAAAGCTTAAACTTTTATGACAGAAAAATTTAGTTTTAGTTCGATTTAGAGGAAATAAATATTAATAAATATAGGTGTAAATGTAAATATAAATGTAAAAGATGAAATATGATAAAAGATAAAAGTTGATAAAAGATAAATATAAATATTTGTTTCATCGAATGTTTCGTGGTAGATACCATATTGACTATTGCAAACTTTCGGATGGTTGTGCATAACCAAAACTGATACGATGAATTTAAGTAATATGTATTACGGTGAATCTTATTTCACACCAATAACATGCCCAAGAGAGAAACGCGTCACGGCATGTACCTTCTGTACATAGATACTTTTGTATAATATCATACGGGAGTATGTGTCACGTGTCACGAAGCACCTGTGTCGTAAAAGATCCAGGATTTTATTGGATCGACGTGGTTGAAGTTTCATTTCTCTGATATCGGACATCTGCGGTTTATCGAAGCTCTCTCCCGACAATATTTCAAAATTGTGCACTGCGCTATTTTAATGCCACTGATAAAAGAGGACCACGAAAACCGATAATCGAAAAAACAAAATTAAGGGAACTTCAGACATTATTGTAAACAAATCATGTAACACATTATGTATCGTTTATATAAAAATTGAGAACCATTAAGAATAAGAACCATTTCGATGATGGAACAGAACCATATTTTTTACGAACCATTTGTTTTATCAACAGATATCTAACCTCGATTTTCAGTACTCAGTATGTATCGCGAACTCGAACCGATGCAATGATAAAGTATCGATATACCGGAATGTTAAATATTTAGTTGTGCAAATTTTTTCTTCAAGAATAAGTAATGAGACTTCCGTGTGTAAACGCTAGATATAAATTTTTTGTATTACAATATACAGGGTTCCTAAAATGCTCCGGGAAATGAGGGATTCCCGAGGTTATTTGAAGTATGTTTTTCCTTAGCATAAATGCAATCCGTTGTTTTGTTTACAAGTTATTAATAAAAAACACTGACCAATGAGGGGCGAGCTCCGAGCAGAACTGGGCTTCGGCCGCTTGTTGGCTTGGCCTCTCATTGGTCAGTGTTTCTCGTTAATAACTCGCAAACAAAGCAGCGAATTGCATTTTCACTACGGAAAAAGTTACTTCAAATGACCTCAAGAACCCCTCATTTCCTAGAAGTACCATAATTTTGGGACACCCTGTATACTCTATTGGTTAAATGCGAGTCCATTTATACATAATAAGATTCAAAATGTCGGAATGATATTCAATGACTAAAAATTAAAACCAAAATTAAAACCAACCTAAAACTGAAGCATAGAACGAAATCATATACTACTTACTAATATATTACGATTAGGACTAAAGCTAGAGCTGAAGTAAATAAACAAAAGTAAATTGTGCGGCAAATTGCTAAGAGTTCGCATATGTTAAGGCTCTGTTAACCCTTTGCTCTCGAAGCTACTTCAACTGAAAATATAAAATCATTTTTCTAACTTACAGTATTTCTATTTTATATGAGAAAATGCATTTTATGCATATATGAAAATTGACTCTTGGGACTCGCGTAGCAGTTACACTCTTAACAATTTTTCAGATGTAAA